CTCTGCTCATGTATTTGAAGAAGTACTCCTTGAGTATTTGAAGTATTGACATGTAAGCTGTGTTTCCACCACAACGTACTATTAAGTCAAAGGCCTGGGATTCAATGTTTTTTTGGTTGAATATTTAGTCTAATGTAGTACTGTAGTACTCCTGTATTAGGGAAATATGGCTGCACTTTACTCTTGGTGGTAAAATTAAGACAAACTTCAGGGACATGTGGTAGTATTAATAATAACAAACAGTTACAGAGTATATTTGCCTCCCTCTTCTTCGATCAGTAGCCTTAGATTGATTATTGATCAGAAGGATCAGGTCAGCTGCAGCCTTAAATCCCCTCCGTGGTTGGTACTCGACTTGAAGTACTTCAGGTATCCACTTCTCAGACTTGTCCTCACGTAAGAAGTATTTTATGACGTGTTTTTCCGGTTTTGGAAACTTCTTCCAAAGTGAATTTTTGATCAGAAACTCAAAGGATACTTCAGTCTCTCCTCAACTTCTGAGTTTCTCGTTTTATCTTCTGGGGACCGTCAATAATTAAACATTTGGTAAAAAAAAAAAAGTTTAATTCCGACCTAAAATCAGAACTCGACCGTCCCTCAGTCCTGAGGGACTACGGTCTGTTAGACGCTCACGATCTTTGATATTTGGACGTAATAAACACACACACCTGAAGGAACCCACTGGGGTCGTTCTCTTTGAGGATCTCCAGACAGAACTCCATCATCCCTGTGGTCTGACGGAGCTTCATGGTGCAGTGGGTGATTTGGTCTCGCACCACCTGAGAATTAGATTTAAGAAAAAACTGTTAGGACAGAGGGCTAAAGAAGATCCGGGGGTTTGGGGGGGGCTGGAGTGAGGGAGGGGGGTGCACTTCTTATTTTTATTTATTTATGGAGATGGAAGGTTCTCTCCCTGACAGAGTCCTGCTCTGCTCTGCTTTTGTACAAACAAAGGCACGACAGAAGAGTAAACCTCAGCTTTATTTCAATTTCCTCCCTGCCCCCCCTCTCCCCCCGGGGACTTGCCATCACCCCCGTCTCACACGAGGATGAAGAGATTTTTCATTACGTTCCTGATGTTAGTGAAAATGAAATCTGCAGCTGCAAAGATTGGAACATGTCGAGGCAAACTGCCAGGTTTAAGACAGGACGGGTTCAGAGACCTGCAGAGGGACGAGGTGTTTGATGCTGCAGGACATTTGACTAAAGGTCACAGCAACGCCACCAGGTGACAGTGTTTAGAACTTTAATTCAGGAGCAATTTTATAAAACAAATCTCTGTTTGAACTGAAGTAGAGATTTTTTACATTTTCTACTTTCTACACTATTCTTTAAATCTAATCCCAACCTTTGACCTAATCCTAATGTTCGATCAAATTCCAATTCTGACCCATTAATTACCCTACTCCACCTAATCTATCCCTAATCTTACCCTACCCACCCATAAATCAAATCTTAATCCTAATTAAAAATATAATATTCAAACCCTAATCCCAACCTCGGCCCTGAGCCAATCAGACGCTGGATGTCTGTTTACTGACTCAGTCATCAATTTAAATGAATTCAACTAATTAATATTCTGTATGTAACAGCTGTTTGATGGAAATGTAATTAACAACACTGATTAATCACAGAGTCACTATCCATTCAGAAATTATTTTAATCCCATCTTTAAACCTCCTCATTTGAAAACTTTCATTTGTTTTTCGTCAAATGCTTGGTTCTCACTGTAGAACCTCACCTTCTCCTCAGGTTCCAGCTTTGTCTCCGTCCACCAGTCTGGTAACAGAGACAACGGCTGTCCTTGGGGCATCCGTCCAAACAGCCCCCCCCCCGCCCGCCCACACACACACTCCTGTAGACACACACCCATCCTCACCTCCCCCACTGTCACCCAGACACAGTCAGTGGGAGGGGCCGCTGAGACTGAGCTGTTTTTCAGTTATCATTTCCCATAATTCCTGACTTAAATATAAACAGATACAGTGGAGAAACATATCAACACAGACCGATGACAATGAACTCTGTTTCCCACAATGCACTTTGATTACATTATGACATAAATGAAGTGATGAGAGGAGCTGGAGTTTTTACAGCAACACCATGATTTCTGTGTTAGAGAGTATACACACACACACACACACACACACACACAGATTAACACACACTCACACTGACCTTCAGCTTGTACTCCTTCTCCTTGGTGACCTTGGTCAGCAGTTTGGCCTTCTGTCTGGTCAGAGCCTCGATCAGGGAGTCACACTGAGCCACCAGACAGGCCTCGAACTCCACGCCGCTCTCCTGAAGCCACACACACACACAAACACACACACAAACACACACACATTTAGGTGTTTTTTGTGCTCACTTTAAAAAGACAAAACCATTTCACTGACCTTAGTGTTTATAACTCTGTTCTTTATCCCAACCCTCGCATCAACTGTTAACTGACCCTAATGCTAATTCAACTAAATCTTTAATGTCAATGTAATATAAATATACAGCCTTAATTTCCTGAAAAAACAAAACAAAACAACTACTGCACCTGTATCTGCTGCAGCATGTTCTTGAGTTGGACCAGAAACTCCTTGGCGTCTTTGGCTTTGTCGGAGACGCCGTTCAAGGCCTGGGAGAGCTGACACTGCAGCGAGAGAAAGACAGCCACACTTTCACTGTTACATGTGTGGTGTGTTCACTGCACCACCGAGAACTGGAGACTTTACAACGCTCTCTCGACATGATCAGTTCACGGCTAAGATCACTCACTCACGCTCTAGCCACGAAGGAACATTCTGCCTCAGCGCTCCTGTTCTGTTGAAGTGTCAGCTGTGATCACACACACAGACGTCCTCACACACCAGTCAGACACAGTGACCCAGCAGGCCGCAGGAAAACCTCCAAATGTTCAGATTCTGACCAACCCCTGCCAAAACCCAACAACACGATGAACGTGATACAACTGTCTTAGTCTTAGTTGTGCCTTTAATATTTGTCTTTGAATTTACTGTGATAAGAATTTGATCTTATATCGTTTTATAACCTGGGTCGTGTATTCGGATTGATACGGTATTTTTCCCTGAAACTGTTTTTTTTTAGGTACAGTAATCATCGACAGCTGATATTTCTGCTCATTTAATTAAGAAATGGAGGGTAAATATGTGTAAAATGCCAGAAATTAAAATGTTTTGAATAATTCACAGATGATTTTTTCTGCTTTCATTTACCTGTCAGCAGCAGCAGGGAGCCTCTGAGTTTTTTTTATTTTTTTTATCTCTGTCTTCCAGCTGTGAGGTAAGAAGAAACGCTGAAGTCACCAGTCGTATGAATGAACACCATAAACAAAGGTTAATGTACAGTTTTAACCCTGCAGACCTGCTGCTGCTGCTGCTCCTCTACGGAAGACAGTCGGTTTATGGGTAACATGATTCAAATTAAAATGCATTAGCAGAAATTATTATTTTTTTCATTTTCAGATTATATTATACAGCATTTTTTGACTCATAAATTACATAAAAAATCTAAATTGCATTCTCATTTTTTCCTACCAGACTGATCATTCTGTGACTTTGCAAAACCTGCCCCAATAATTAAGTACAGAAATTCACTTGAAATTGGGCTCTTCATCGTTAAGATGAGTTCGAGTTAAATAGAATATCTAAATCGGACGCCTGCTGACAGACTTGAGCAGATTATGGAGAGATTGTCAGCGAACTGTGGCGTCACAGACACCGATGTCAACACAGTCGACCAAGATAACCTCCAGTGACTGGACCCGGTGGTCGGGCAGAACCGGGTTCAACAATCATAGATAAATAACATTAAATTACACAGACTTCCACAGTCTTCCTCCTCCTCCTCCTCCTCCTCCTCCTCCATCTATCTCAGTGTGAACCGACAACAGACAGATGCAGATTTGACCCAAATGAATAGAGAAACACTTTGACAAATGAAGTCCTTCATTAATATTCATGGTGTTTTCACTGGCGTACCCACTGTTTGTGGTCGTGCTGCTGGTGAAGCTGTTGTGGTGTGAATACATGTAAATATTACACATTCACATACGTCAACACCAACACAGACACATATGTTTAACAATAGGATTTCATCTCCTGTTGTTTTTCATATTTCAGTGTGTACGATTAATAAGGCTAATCTTTGGATATATTTTTTAAGCTAACTGTCTTGGCTAACATTTATCTTCTGGCTGAGTTTTTCTCTCATTTATTTTTCTATATTTTGTTGCATCGTTGGTAGCTAACGTGAAGAATTAAGACAAAAAGAAGTTTGTGTTTTAAATGATGGGACGTCGTCCGGTGATCATTTCATTTACCGTGTGGTTCAGATGCAGTGGAACACAGAAAGACAAAGAGAGAGAGAGAGAGAGAGAGGGAGAGAGAGAGGGAGCCTGATAAACACACACACACACACACACACACACACCCGTGTCATGCTGTGATAAATCTGTTCTGCTGCATCTCCCACCTGCTTTTTGGACTGTGGTCTTATGAATGGACACACACACACACACACACACACACACACATCCAGGGGGCGATATAATGAGGGGTCGTTCCTCTGTTTCTTTTGTTAATAGAATCATAAATAACAGCTGTAGATCCAGCACAGGTCAAAGGTCAGATTAATTTCTCTCGTCCATCACCTTTAATCCGCCCTGTGATTCTGGGTTTGGAACATTTGATGTACGACATCAGCAGAACAAAAACCTTGATCAGATTTTTTTTTTCTGTGTCTAGAAATGTGAATTTCTTCTTCTCTTCCTGTGGATAAAATCCTCCATAATCTGCTTTCTCACATCTCATTCTCCACAATACACACCCCCGCCCCAATCACACACACAAAACACACACTGGTCTTATCTCTGTCCACACATGCTGACCAGACCCAGAGGGGACGGACGTGTGGAGGTCATGGTTCACATATCAAACACACCCTTCTCCACATGGAGCGTCTTCACTGCTCCTCACCCAGAGGCCATCTGGCCCAGCAAGCTGTCTGTCTGTCTGTGTGTGTGTGTGTGTGTGTGTGTGCACATGTCAGTGTGTGTCGGTGCTAAGATGCTAACGAGAACATGCCGGCTGTCGGGTACATGTGCTGCCGCCCCATCTGTGTGTTTCTCCGCCTCCTTCTCCGCCTCCTTCTCCTCCCTCTTTGTGTGTTTCTCCTTTAATTCGACTCGTGGTCAAAGTTCTGAGCTGTATCCACCCATCTGTCCGTCTGCTGCACCGTTCACACCACACTGGCCCTTGTTTATTTTATTCATTCATTGTTTTTGTAGCACCCTGACCAGTTCTTGAAATAATAAAAATAAAAAACTATTCTACTTTATTTGTGTAATGTTCTGTAACTGTTCACTACCCGGTTTATTTTTGTGTGACTCTCTTATCTATGTCACGAGTGAAGAGAAGATGATCTCTGAGATTTTTTCGGAGTGGATCCCACGGCTGGCCACACCGTCTCCATCAGTAGAAAAAGAAACAAAAAAACAATCTACACGAAGAGTTCAGAAAAAGACCAGATCCATTACTCTCTATTCAACCACATGACGAGAATTAATCATGACTTTATCAGGTTTACGTCACGTTTCATAGCCAACACTCAAATTACAAAGCTTCTATTTCAGCCACTGGCTCTTTCAGAGTGGTGTGAAGCTGGAACATGTCCCAGCATGCAATGTGTAATGTGCAAAAATCCACAGCCGAAGGTTAATAGTGTCAGGAATTAGATATTGGTGCCTGACACGTCAAACCAGGGGCCATAAAACAGAAAACAAAAATGTCAGGAAAAGAAC